TAGGGTAAGTAAAATTAGTCAGAAATAATCAAAGAAAAATCAAAATAAAATGCGCATAGACAGATATACGAAACATTTAAAGAATTTTTTTTAATAGAAATAAGAACCATAACAGATCTGAAAAGATCCAAGCCCTAATTTTAGGGCAAATAAAACGAAATCACAACAAAATGCACATAGATAGATATACGGGAATATTAAACAAAATAGAAAAAATATAACAGATCTTGAAAGGATCTGAACCCTAGCTTTGGGGTAAATGAAGAATCGAACCAAATCTTAGAGATTCATACCATAAAGAGACGAAGAATGAGCATAGATAAAAAAGGAGTGAAGGTTCGAACCAGATTTGGTCCGGAATGAGAAAAATCAGCTTGCCATGTTAGGCAACAATTATGTTATGCCATAAACGAGTAGCCAATAATGAGAAAAGGATCAATAAGGTATGAAAATCCTCGATTGATTCCATATATGGTTGGAACCGAAATGGATTAGGGGTGACAGCGCTAGGGTTTCTGAGGAGAGAAGAGGAGTGTTTCCGGGCGACGGGTTTAGAAGAATGAGGGGTTAGGGTTAGTAGTGGTTAATTAAAAGGGAAGGATGAACGGGTGTCGTTGATCTTGAAAGATCAACGGTCTGGATTAAAGAGGGTTTGGGTCGGGTATAGAAACGGGTCACCGGTTGGGTTATTCGGTTAGGGGTCATTTGGTTTAGGCTGGGTGTTGGGCTGGTGCATTTCAGGTAATTGGGCTAGGGGTTGGTCCGATTTTAAATAGAAAATGGGCCAGATTTTAATTCCCCAATTTTAAAAATAAATAATTTATAAAAATGATAAATGAGTACCAAAAATATCCTTTGTGCACTAAAATGATTTAAAATAGTGATTTAGTATTTTAAAAATATAAAAAATTATTTTCTGCATAAGTAATATAATTATACACTAATATGGGATATTATTGCAAGGATGTGCAATTTAGCCAAAAATGCAAATGTAATTATGAAAAATGCACTAAAAATATTTAAAACTATGTTGGCATAAAATGGTGAATTTATATGATTAAATCACCATAAAAATAATATGGAGAATAATTATTGGATATTTATACAATAAGAATGCAAGAATAAATTGATTTAAAGCCTTTAAAAATTGTAAAAAAATTATAAAAAATACTTGTGCATGCTTGTAAATCCAATGACAATGCATGTGCACTATTTTGAAAGTATATATGCATATTTAAAAAATATGAGGGGAAAAATGGGTATCAATAGTCGAAATTAAAATTCGGGAAGTTCGAAGTTGATTTGGAAAAAAAATTCTCATTTCGGAAGCTTTAAGTTTGAAGAATTGACTACGATTTGATTTTCGATTAAACAACCTCGGGATTGGGATTTGAAGGTTCTGACAAGTTCGTATGATAATTTTGGACTTGGGCGTATGTCCGAATCGGGTTTTGGATGACTCGGGAGCGTTTCGGCGCCTATTTTGGAAGTTGACATTTTGGAAGAAATCTCATAAATTTAGGTTGAGGTGCATTTAAATGTTATCGATGTCCGTTTGGGATTTCGAGAACTGGAATAGCTCCATATGGTGATTCTGGTATTGGGAGCGCATCCGGAAGTGGATTGGGGGTCCCTAGGTCATTTTGGAGTTGTTTGGCAAAAGTTAGAAATTTGAAGGTTTTTGAGAAGTTTGACCATAAGTGGACTTTTTGATATCGGGGTCGGATTCCGATTTCGAAAGTGGGAGTAGGTCCGTAATGTCGTATATGACTTGTGTGCAAAATTTGAGGTCAATTGGACATGATTTGATAGGCTTCGGCATCAAATATTGAAGTTTGAAGTTCTAAAGTTTATTAAGCTTGAATTGGGGTGGGGTTCATGAATTCGACGTTGTTTGATGTGATTTAAGACCTCGAGCAAGTTCGTGTTATGTTTCTAGACTTGTGTGGGTTTTTGGTTTGGAGCCCCGAGGGCTCGGGTGAGTTTCAGAGTAGCTTCGGAGTGTTTGGTGAAGAAAGGGAATGCTGGTTCTTGTGTGATCGCATTTGTGATGTATTGGTCGCAAATGCGACCATCGCATTTGCGAAGGTGAGGTTCGCATTTGCGAACATGGGGCTGCTGAGGGAAAGAACGCATTTGCAAAGTATTTATCACTTTTACGATGACTGTCCCCTTCGCATTTGCAAGGATCTTGGTCGCAAATTTGGTCATCGCAAGGAAAGCTTGGCTTCGCATTTGCGATGCATTTGTCGCAAATGCGACCATCGCATTTGCGAGCCAGATGTCGCAAATGCGACATCTGCGACTGGAGCCAAGGGCTTTTTTTCCCGAGACTTAAGCTCATTTCCCACTTGGTCTTAGACGATTTTTGAGAGCATTTTGAGAGGGGTCCCATCATCTTCAAGAGGTAAGTGATTTCTACTAGTTTTGAGTAAAATACAAGGATTATATATGGATTTAGACATGAAAAATTGTGGAAAATTGGGGATTTTGAAGAAAAACCTAGAAATTGGTGTTTTTGGATTTTGACCACGAATTTGGGCATGGAATTGGAAATAAATTATATATTTGAGTTCGTGGGGTTATGGGTAAAGTTAATCTTAAAAAAATTTAGAAATCCGGGCACATGGGCCCAAGAGTGATTTTTATCGACTTTTCGATCGGAGTTGGAAATTATGGTAAATTGGATTTTTATGAGTATTAGAGTATATATTTACGGAATTGCTCATTATTGACTAGTTTTGGAGCGTTGAGCATCGATTTGAGTTGTTGGAAGGGCTTGGGAGCCGGTTATGGAACTTCGGAGCGAGGTAAGTCTCCTTTCTAACATTGTAAGAGGGAATTAACCCCATAGGTGAACTAAATTATTATGTGCTTCTATTTGTAGGGGGCTACGTACGCACGAGGTGAAGAAAGTCCGTACGTAGCTACTAGCTATGCCTATGTTCGGGTAGTTTTAGGCTTACATCATGCCTTGATGATATTGTTGTTGATATGTTTATTGTTAGCCTTGAGAAAGCGAGATTGAGTTTGCTTATTAAATGTGTTGAAAGGAGTTGAAATTGAGGAAAAATTGGGATCTTAAAAGTTTTCATTTGAACTTCGTATTTTGAAAAGAATTGAAGAATACTATAATAACTTAAGAAATCTATGTGTAACCTCGTCACAATCATATTCCGCAAGCGGGGTAAATTTCCACTACTCTTATGGGATTGGGCCGTTTGCCACGGCAGGATTATGTATTTCACTCTTATGGGATCGGGTCGTTCGCCTCGGTAGGATCTATGTACCACTCACTCTCATGGGAGAGGGTCGTTCGCCTCGGCGGGTTAATAAATGCATCTATGGTTCGTGCCGTTCGACCCTCGGCAATGCACTGTTTAATTATTATGTTGGATCGGGACATATGCCTCGACACTTCCTATATCATATCCTCATGGAGTCGTACGTAATATTCGGCAAGCAGCCAGTGTATCCGTGAGTTTTTTGGATTTGAATTTATGATAATCTACTTGATGAGGTCCATTACACCCTTATGTGTGCTACGATTAAGGAGGGAATTTCTAATGGGAAGTTTGAGTTCATTGTAAAGAGGGGACTTTGTATCACGTATCTTTATGTTTATTTAATTCATTTATTTACTCTGCCTCACATTTATTTACCTCTTTACAGTACCTGATATTATTGGACCACTAGTAAGTGTCGGAGTCGACCTCTCGTCACTGCTTCTTCGAGGTTATACTAGATACTTACCGGGTACATGTTGTTTTCGTACTCATACTACACTTGCTGTACATTTTATTGTACAGGCACATGTATGTGCAGTGGCCTTGTGGGCGCAGCAGCGTGGTTGATGCGGGGACTTAGGTGAGCTATATTCAATGTTGCGTTCCGCAGCCAGTAGAGTCTCCTTCAGAGTGTTTGTATTTCTTTCCTGCCCAAATCTGTATTCCGAACAGATGCTGTATTTTATTTTATTTTATTTCCTAGTAAATGCTCATGCACTTGTGACACCGGGTTCTGGGATGATTATAGAATATTAGTATTGAAAGTGGAAAATATTATTATTTATTCTGTAAAGTTCATCTTTTACTAGTTAAATTGAAGGAAATTTATGATATCAAAAATATTAAAATGAGAATTTAATTAACTATTTTGTGTTGGCTTGCCTGACAGTGGTGTCCGGCGCCATCATGACCTTTAACGAATTTTGGGTCGTGACAGACTCAAAGTCAGCAACGTAGATATTTTTGTATCTTTTGGCCACTAACACCACTTCACCAGTCACAAGGTATTGTGCATATCTTAGATACAAATTCCACCTTGTTTCCCTTGTCACAGATTTGGGAAACACTCAGCAAGTTGTACTTCAATCCATTGACATAGTACACATTTTCAATAGAGTGAGAGAGAAACTTCCCATCCTTCCAACTCCCAGAATGTATCCCTTTTTGCCATTTCCAAAGGATACACTCCCTCTTTGCAGGGCCTTAAGTGAAAGGAAATCATTTGTACTTCCAGTCATGTGCTTCGAGCAACCACTATCCATATACCATTGTTGGTTGCTTCCTTTCATTGTTCCCTGCATAAGGAAATCAAGGGTTAGACTTAGGAACCCAAACAAGTTTGGGTCCCTTGTAATGAGGAAAGAGGTGAATAAGGGCTCTTTTGGTCCAGGCAGGTATCATACGTTTTTTATATGAAGGACTAGGTTCCCTAGTAGTAGTTACTTTTTCAGCTAAAACTTTGTTTTTTTGTTGAGACTGAAATCTGCCCTTACAGTTTTCCTTAAAGTGCCCAGTGTTACCACAGTGAGTGCAGAGCCAATTATCAGGTACAGTAACGTACTTGCAATGAGGGTCGTAGGGAGTCTTTTCCCTTTGGAACCCGATCCCCTGCCTGTTTCCCCCACTATTTGTGTACATAGGTGTGATTGCATCAGAGGACCAGATCCACTTAAGGGATTTTTCTAGGTCACCCTTCACTTTGCCCAGATCTTCCTAAAGTTGTCTATTCTTCTCAAGCTTTGCACACAGACTAGATTTCACTGATCTTAACTCATTTTCAAGCTTAAGGTGCGCCTCGCTTGCAACTTCCTTTCCCTTTTGAGTGTTCCTAGGCCTACTTTCCCTTTTTAGTTCCTCAATTATTTCCTTTAGGTCTACAACCACTACTAATAGGTCATCTCTCTCATGCTCAATGTTAGCAACCTTCTCAATTAAAACTTCTTTCTCCTTTTTAACACACTCAATGGTCTCTTTTAGATCGACCACAACAACCACTAGATCATCTCTCTCATGTTCTATGTTTGCAATTTTTTCAGTGAAGGCATCTTTTTCTTTCTCCAGACTCTCAATTGTTTTCTTTAAATCAACCAGAACGACTACTAGATCATCTCTAGACTGTTCTGCTTCTCCTAGTTCTATAATTAATGCATCTTTATCATTTATTAGCCTATGGTAAGAATCAATTAAAACATTTACCAAAGACATAAGTTTTTTCTGAGAATAAGACTTAAGATTTCTTTGAACATCTAGAAAGTTTACCTCATCATCATCATCGTCGTCATCTTCATCAGCATCAGACTGTGCCATCAAGACAAAAATTGAGTCATACTTAACTGCTTCACTTTCCACTGCCATCATGGAGCTGTCACCTTGATCATCATATTCTTCAGATTTGCTGGAAGAGTCTCCCCATGCAGCAAGAGTTTGTTTCACAACATTGTCAGCGACGTTTTTCCTCTTGAAGCGTTTGTCAGGAACCAGGTTCCTCTTGGCTGCTTTGTCAGTGTTGTTTTTGTACTGATATTGCTTTAGGAGAGGGGAATCCTCGATGAAGTGTCCTGGCTTACCGCAGTTATGACATAGGTCATAACCTTTTGGCTTGCTGGAGCTCCCCCTTTTTGGAATGCCTCCTTCTGGAATCGTTTTGTCAGGTAAGCCATATCAGCATCCTTACCACTTGAATCATTGTTGTTCGTTTTGAGGACCAGGTTCTGCTCCCTTTTGGGCTCTCTTCTCTCATTATCCTGCTTCTTCTTCATTTCATAAGTTTTCAGATTACCAACAAGCTCATCAATGGTTAGCTTCTGCAAGCTGCTTATCGGGTGGATTGGGCGGTTATTTACTCTTAACGGTTTGGCTTATCGGTTATCAGCTTTTAAATGTATTAATCCGCTAGCCACCGATAAGATATCGGGCGGATTGGTATCGATTTAGCTCTTCTCGGGCGGTTATCGGGTGGTTTATCGGCCTAATTCAATCAAAATAAAATAAAATTTAGTCTCTGTATGTTTAAATAGGTGGTCGACGTACTAAGAGGGACGAAGCAGAAGAGACACCGTGATGCGTAAATCATCTGTCTAGAATCTTATTTATGTTTATGCACATTGGCCTTAGTCCATGTGAAAGATTTCCAATTGGCCATTGTTAAAACAAATGTTCGTCATGCTTAGAATTCTAGGATGCCTTAAAACCCAGGCAAAGTTGATGAGCAGTGATGTAACTGGTGTTGTTATCTTGTTTCAGACAGCAAATTCTGTCTTTTGTCACAGTTAGATGACTCCTTTTATTTGGCTTTCTTTTATTCTAATTCACTTTGATAGAGTACTAGAGGAAGAAGAGTTTTTGATTATTTAATATATATATGGATAAAAATAAATTTTATATGTATATATATATATATATATATATATATATATATATATATATATATATATATATATATATATATATATATTCTTAACGGGTTAACGGATTATCCGTTAAGAAAATTGAATAATCCGCCCCCAAACCGATAAGCCTCTAATAAAAAATTTCAACCCGTTCCCCATCTGTTAAATCGTTAACCCGAAACCAATAAGCCATTAAGCTTCGATTTCGGTTCGGCTTTCGATTTCGATTCGGTTTTGAACACCCCTATCTGCAGGTCCTTTGCCTCTTTGGTAACATTCACTTTGCTTTCCCAGGAACTGGGCAAAACACTAAGTATTTTCCTTACAAGTTTGTTTCTTGGAATGATTTCTCCCAGAAAATGAAGCTCATTGACGATGGAGGTGAAGTGAGTATGCATATCCTGGATGGATTCATCATCCTTCATCTTGAAGAGCTCGTATTCTGTGGTCAGAATGTCAATCTTTGATTTCTTAACTTGGGTTGTCCCTTCATGAGCTGTTTGGAGAGCTTCCCAAATTTCCTTAGCAGATTGGCATGCTGAAATCCTGTTGTATTCATCAGGACCAATCCCACAGACAAGAATTTTCTTAGCTTGAAAGTTCTTCTCAATGGCCTTGCGATCAGCATCATTATATTCCTTTCTAGTTTTAGGAACATTCACTAAGGGTCTCTAACGGTCTTGGTAGGTACGAAGGGTCCATTACAGATGATATCCCAAAGCTCTAAGTCTTTAGCCGTGATGAAGTCGTGCATCCTTGTCTTCCACAATCCGTAATATTGGTCGTTGAACCTTGGTAGTCTGTAGGTAGATTGACCTTCTTCGAAGTTTGGCGAAGCAACCATGAGGATCCTTTCTAGGTGTTAGCCTGATAGAAAGAACATGCTCTGATACCAATTGATAGAAATTAAAGGTCCACCAAACTATATAGAGAACCTAGTTCTCTATATGTTCCCATAGAACACACACACACACACACTGCAGTAAGTAAATGATACAATGAAGTTTTACGTGGAAACTCCCAGCTCACGGGATCAAAAACTACGACCTACCCTTGTAGGATTTCAACTTCACTACTGAGCAAACTTTAGATTACAACCTATTGTAACCTAGGAATTAACCTCTTAATCCCTCACTAACTTTTAACAACTCTATTACAAGCCACTTTGTAATAACTCTATTACAAAGACTTACAACTCGACTAACTATAGCCAAGACACAAACACAAGGGTTTATGATTTACAAAGATTCCCTGCACAATGCTTCTAACTAAGCTAAGTAGGAATTACAAGTAGAGTGCTTTAACAAAAGTACAACACAACTAAGGACATGTAATAACTCGATATGGGGAACTGGTTCGTTGTTATGTTGTTCTTTGTTCTTGATGCCCTTGAGAGTTACTTGCGAGATTGATAGATGACTTGAGAGAATAGTTGATCAATTCTTGAATGTGCAAGTGTTTTGTTTTACCTTTGCTTGATATTAATAATTCATTTGTGACATCACTTGAATGATGTAAGCAAGTAAGGTAAAGGGCATTCCCAATAAAATTGACTGCTGCACTGTTTTCGCACTATTCCGTGTGCAAGCAGCAACTTTATAGCTGGAGCGGTTGACTTGTACAGTCACCACGGGAACTAGTAGCTATCTGTTCCCTCTGCTGTTTCTTTGACTCTGAAGAGTTGAACCATGTCCCCAACTGGAGACTTGTTGATCTTAAGTTCTTGATAACATGTTCCTTATCTGGTTCTTAACAGTAAGTTTGTTAGATCATCAAAACATAACAAGAATGCATATATAACCTATCACCAACCCCTAAATGGCAACGAATGAAGATATCAAATGAAAAGTTCTCGGTCTAAGTGCATCGGTAACTATTTTTAAGGTAGCTTTTAAAAAGTATTCAACATTTTACGAAGTATTTAAACAATAGCCACTTCTAAGTTGGGTAACAGTGACCCATTATTTTAAATTTTAAGACAGTTTTTGAAACTTTAGGACAGGAGTTTTAGCTTCAAGACACAAGCTGGACTCTAGGACATACTTTCACTTAATTAGTATTCTTATGTTGTCCAAATAACAAATATGTTATTTATAGTTCATTTATCAAGCAAGAGAAGGAGAAAATAAGTATCTGTTGCGAATGAAAAGAATTAAAATGATGAGAGCTATAAAGCGCTTCTTGCTCTGCTTCTACGGTGGGGATATAGGGTAGGATAATTATAAATTTCTTTTGATTATTTTTTTAACATAAGAACGGATGATTCGAACTCAAGATAGAGTATCCTGAATTAAATATTTTCTTTTGATATGTATGAGTAGTATCTTTGGTGCATGGCAAGTTGTTGGAGTTAAGTTAGAATTTGAAGTATATTTTGTGCATTCGCTCTCTTTCTCTTTTGTGCAAAATAGTGTAAGAAGAAAAAGCGGATCTCTACCACTTTTTAAAATATTGACTATTTCTTAAAATATACTGCAAAGAAAGGCTATATTTTAAATAGCTAGCTAAGGGTGGCTTTCTCCCCAATTAATCCCAAATATTCTGATTTTCCTGTTGATTTTGTTCGTGAACGCCGAAGGAAAGCAAAGCCTTTGGAAGAACCTAGACATGGATCCGAAGCTTACAGAGATTTCACAGCTGTTCGAACGATTCAAAGCTGCAATTGTACGGAATGAATTCGAAACTTGCACTACTTTTCTCTCCCAACTGAAGGTAATCGCTTCAAATCCACTACCTAAACTCAAAGCTCATCGATACTTGCATTTGTGCGGAATTGTTTCTCCTTTTTCTCTTTGCTAGATATTAGCAGTAATTCTTCCGATTGGTTGAAATTAGTGTTAATTATTATCTTTATTCTTAACATCGAGTTATCTTCTTTTGATATTGCAGGTTCTATTGACCGAATATAAGAGCCTGCCTCCCCTATTTCAGGACACACCTAATGCTATCCAAGAGTTGACGATTGCAAGTAATATGCTCCACTCTTTTTTATCTGATTTTATTTTACTTCTTTGCTTAATTGCTTTATGACTGACTATTGAAACATTGATAGGAAGTACATAAAGTAATGTGAAAGTTTGTAAGATGGAACTGTGAAACAAATAATTAAAGATGAATACAGATGCTTACACATTTTCATGTGCGAGACGAGAGAAACAGAAAATCAGTAACTGTGATGAAGACAAGACCTAGATTATATGAGGCCCTTTATCACGAAGATTTAGTACCATTTTTCCTATCTGGTGGGTGTGGTTAGTGAGAAAATAATTGGACATCGTTGTTTGGTGGAACTCTAAAAAGATGAGAAGTTGCTTGCTTGTGCTTTTAGTTTTGCAGTAGTTTCTAGAGTAGATCTCTATGTTTCTCTTAGTTACTGGCATAGTCGATCGGAGAATTACCAGCATCCTTGTTAATTTGGAATACTTCATTGTTATAGAACACATTGCAGATAGCTTCACAAAGCTAGCAAGGATTCCCTATGCTTTCAGTTTGTTATACTCAATCTGTTGGAATTCTTGTTGGCTTCCAAATAATATACTGATAGATCTTTAGCTGTATATATTTGAAAATTGGTATTAGTAAATGTTTTTCCTGTTGTCGCTCATAATGAATTAATCATCAATTCCATAACAATTTACAGGAGATATATACGAGCATGCAGTTGTTCTAGCTGTAAAGATGGAAGACCAGGATGCATTTGAGAGGGACTTTTTCCAGCTGAAACCTTATTACACGGATGCTCGGTAATTAGTTGGTCACTCTTTAATTCTGTCTGTCATTCATTCTTGTGCATATTAAAGAAAAAGGGGAAAAAAATCTGATGTTCACACGTCAAATACCCATGTCAATTGAGGTTGCAGAATAAGCTTTCCGCATCAAAGCTAAATTGCAACTGGATTGGTACCTTACAGTGCTTCTCTTCAAGCTTCAAGGCCCTGTTTCCAACTAATTGAGGCTTAAAGGTTTAGAATAGGGCATGTTAAGTATTATTGTAGTTATTATTCTCACATGCTTTGTTTTTATCATAGTAAGAACGGCGTGTTGAGTCTGCTTGGTTGCTGCAATGTACTTGAATTTAACCATTGTGCTTGTGCTTCTCTTTTTTGTTGTGATGGAACAGTGGCCGTCTTCCACCTTCTGCACAAGAATATCCAATCTTAGGTCTCAATCTTTTGAGACTCCTTGTACAGAATAGGATTGCTGAATTCCACACCGAACTAGAGTTGCTTTCTCCTAGTGCTTTGGACAACCCTTGTATACAGCATGCTGTGGAATTGGAGCAATCCTTCATGGAAGGGGCTTACCACCGTGTGTTGAGTGCGAGGCAATCCGTGCCTGATGCAACCTACGTTTATTTCATGGACCTGTTA